GTCACACACAGCCGCCTCCTTCCGCACCCCTCTTCGTCGCGCACGGCAACAAATGGAGGTCCTCTCAGGTGAGATCACACAATCCTCCATAACCTTCTCTACAGTCAGTCAGCCACGCAAAAACAGTGAGGAATCTGATGCGTGCGTGCTATTGTTATTTTGGCTGTCTAAAGTATCCCTTGAACTAATCCAGCAACCTGGCATTTCTTGGTATCTAACTAATATCATTCTTATGACAGGGAGTACTAATATTATTCAGTTAGCATGCTTTTCGTGGAAGAGGAATGAGGATGTAAAGGTTAGAAAATGGTAACTGAATGAGTGTTCTCTTTTTCTGCCTCTGACTTGAAGAAATATACTTGTTAATAAATAGAAGCTTAGATCTGTAATCAAGCTGTGAAAGAGAGTACTGTAATAGAGACTTCTATAAGCAGAGGTATGTACCTGCATTTACACCTTAAATATCCCTTAATTAGTTCTGTATGGTTCGTCTAATTCATGTTGAAATGGTTTTCTTTAGTCTGTTAATTGTATAGGTAATTAGACGGTGTAGTACTATGGCGGTGGTATACTGATTTGGCGTAATAATTACGGACATGACTTCGTGTGTACAATCTTACAGGTTTATGATATTAAGAATTAGCAGCGTGTTTTTTTGTTTACTGCTGGATTTCCTAACAAACTGTCTCTTCTGTTAATTGATATGTAGACTTGTTGTTTTTCATTCAGTTGAAGAGCTCCCCAGGCTTAACATCTTTCTTGGATAATTGCGTTGCTAAATATGAAGGTATATGATTGGTTTCTCAACTCATGAATCGATAAGCATTTTTTTCACCCTCAATATATTGTCGCTTGCCTGACTTGTCCTACATTTGTGAGGTGTCCGAGGATGTTCAGTTCTTGTATGCGGCGTAAAACTTGAACTACCTACAGATGATTTCGCCAGTTCAACGGAAACTTAGAATAACCAAGGGAACTTTCCCAGTTTTTTTGTTTTTGCTCTTCTCAGATTTTAGGCTGGGGGTATTAACATATATGCCACACCGTAAATTTAGATATTAATGTAAAATTAAAGAGGGATAAATCCTTCTGCCATGTTAACTAATTAGAATTACAAAGAAGAAAAGAAAATATTAAAGAAGAGATATAGTCGATTAGGTTGTTGTGGTGTTTCTTTGATCTTCACTAGACCTCTCATTTTTTATTGGCATGGTGATGATCTGTTTCTTCTGGTGTTTCTCTACTTCAGGATTCGCTCATGTGCCAAAGCCAGCTCGGGGAAGCCTTCCTGGACTCCTGATCAACCAGGACAATCACGACACGGTGAGTAGATTTTGAATCTTTCTTGCTTCGTCGGATCAGATTCGATGTGTATATGGTAGTTATGGACTGCTGACTGCTTAATGTTGTGTTTTCTCTGTGTACTATGGTGCGTGTTGTTTTTAGAGCTTAAGCGAGCGGAACGTCGAAGGAGGATCTTGGGGATGACGGAGGCGTCAACAACAACCTCAAAGGCAAGATATATTGCTTTCATGTCTCTGTGTTTCTTACTTTATGCAACTATGTCGGTATTAAGGCCGTATATTCGATGGGAGCAACGAAAACTGAACTTGTTAATGTTTAGAATTTGGACGATCTGTTTGATACGATACGTCTGCACTGGTGATGCCGAACATTGTTCAAGACACTGTGGGTTCAGATGTGAGGAATACAATTTGGCTTGCAGGGTTCAGGCTACTCTCTTGTGCTTGTTTTGCCTTGTGATTACTTGAAACTGCAGCCTGCACATTGAATGGGCACTTTATTTGTTAGGGCGAAAGGCTGAAGCAAAGAAAGCTGCTGCTCTTTGAGCTGTAGTACATTTCATTTGAGAGCCAGATGAGGTCCGTTAAATTAGGATTAAAGTCTGCACAATAATTAAAAACACTGAATAAGCAAGGCCATTCAGAAGAAGTTTGCACTTAACACCGTGCAGCACCATTGCTACTAGCTAAGGTAGATTAGGCCATGACATGTCCAAGCCATGTTGTGCTTGTACCCTCTGCATATCCAGCTGTTTTCTTACAGCTCCGCTAGCATCATAAATTAATTGTGGGATATGATGCACATGAGTAGTCTTCTGTTTATTTTTCACCAGCAAAGTACCACTCTTATTAGTGCATTTGTTTTTTGTTTTTTCAAGATATGTACATTTACGAACAGGTTTCAAAATCAAATGAACACAATAGTTTGGTTTGCAACTCCCCACTTAGTTTGCAATCATCTACATCAAATGGCAATGGTGAAGTATTCAACGTTTTGTGTTATGTCTAGATGAACTTTGTAGTTAGAAAGGAGTTCTGAAATTGCTAGGGGGCATGTTTGGTTTAATGTAAAGTTGACATACATATATAGACACAAGTTTTCCTGATTCATGTATATATAACCAGACTCGTCCAAAAGATAGCATATGGAAAATGGAGTCAAAATCATGGATTTCTACTTTATACCAGAGCTCTTACCCAACTCGTCCATTTGGATTTTGGTAGATATAGTCAAGTATATTCACTCGCATCATGAAGAAGTTCCTCTTTTGGTTTGGAGGTCCATTTGTTGATATGAATTGCTTCATAATATATCTAACCAGTGAAAGTTTGATGTATACGTATTAACACATACATGTATGTCCTGACCTTTTGTTCTTTTTTTTTCAGGTTCATATATCATCGCACTGATTTATTTTTTCATTAGGTTGTGATGTCAAGATTACATATGTACACCACTTATTCATTAGTTCACTGTAAATTATTTAGGTATATAATTATATCAACAACCAAAAAGCTCAACGGTCCTGAATCCTGGGATATGGGAAGTTTGAAGAGGCCCAACAGGCCCGCCCCAGTGGCTACAATGAACTCATTTCGAATTGTCAAAGATGTGAAAATGCTTTTCTGGACACACTTAAGAATTCATTTTATTTAGTATTCATTTCGTGCAGAATGAACTCATGTCATTTAGTATTCAACATGACCATCTTTTTTTCCATGGACACACCTATGAACATGATTGAATTGTGTTTCCATGAAGTGTAATTGTCGGTTTGCAGGGTGTGCTATATCATCGACCTTGTAAGACTGCCACTATCTGTTAATATAGACCTATTACCTTGCTATGCCTGACGACTCAACACTTTCCTATTGCACTTGTATTGACAAGACTGGTGCGCACATGACGGCAAAGAAGCACATGTCATCCTCATAATAGCAGGTTTATAATAAATTATGGAACAAATCGGGAGGTTAAAGTCAGCAAAGATTTGCATATTCATCTGTAGTCAATCTTTGCATATTCATTTGTAGTCAAATCACTTTGGCTGTATATAAATGTCATCAAAGATTAACCTGGTCCGCTTAACCTGGACCAAAGTACGCACATGAACGCTCAGGAAGCACGCCCCAACCACTAGTTCATGTCAAGGAGGCAACACTTGAGCAACCATATCAAAAAGGATTTCACATTAAAACCAATGAGTCGATGAAATGACTAACAAGGATGAGCCCTGCATCAGTCAGATAAACTTGTGAAATGTGGCTGTCGCTGTCGACAAACTAGTCCGTTTTATAACTTATATAAAATACACACTTGTAACAGGGTGGGTCCTACTCAGATAAATCGAACTCTTTCCTGCTCTTTATTACAACATTTTGCCTCGACTCCGCGTCAAGCGTGTCCAAGTCCCATGCCGTGGCCAAATAGCCATAGAGGACCCATGTCGGTTGGCCCGTCTCATCCACCTTGACAAACATGGGGTTACTGCCCCCAACAAAAGACGGGGTGAGGCCCCGGGCGTGGACCCACTGCGCTCGTCCATGGCCTTCAGTCTCCAAGAGCTCAGCAAGCCGCGCAGCTTCCTTCAGACCAGCCAGGTTGCTTGCGAATGTCACTAGCATGGCTCCATCCTTGCCCACTAGTGGCTTCACACTCACGCCGGCGAACCCCATTTCTGGACAACAAATAGATATTCATGGATTAGTGCCTGGGACTCGTAATGAATTTTAAAACAAACTAAATGCAGCAGAGACAATTGAATCGAATGTTAACTGGGTATGAGCAAACTGCTAAGATGCACAATATTTGAAGCAGAGAAAAAGGCTCAACTAACTGAAAGTTGTACTAGGAGAAACTACACTTCAATCCCCCAATCTATTATTCTATTGGTCACGCTCACTTGACCACCAAACAATTTGTGTGTTCGCTTAACCCCCTCATGGAGAATCTGCACAACGCCCTAAAACAGGATTAGTGTGGACGTGGCTGGGTTTGCCTGACTAAATGACATTTAAGCAAGAAAACATCAATGATGCTGTAGTTCTCTACCACCCAACCGACGCTCTCTGTTACTTAACCTGCTTCCATCAAAGAGCACGCATAGATAGAGGGCACACCCCATATTATTAGCCAGGCCAAAATTATATAAGATTCTAAGCTCCATGTTGTAACAACTGCAGTATAACTTGCCAATATTAACACACTTTGTATATACATATTTTAGAACCAACCTCACTATATGGTATATGCACATTTGAGATTAAAACTACAGGGAAACCCACACTAAGGGCTTATTTTGACAGACAGGGTACAATCCAATCCCTTGAATGAGCACTCATGTTACATCAACTTAACTTCCCACCACAAGGGATCGGGCAGGCCTAAACCCCCTATCTATCCAAATAATTCCAAGGTCACACTGACGGGTAACAGACCATGAAACGTTAAGATGCAATCCAACTCTTTAAAACCACACTGCATTAGCCAATATATAAGACAGGCAAATGACTACATTGTTGGAAAGTAAATAAACTTTTTAGCTGACAAAATACTGTCAACCATGTCATGGGCAAATTAGAAATGATAAGCCAGCTGACATAAGGTGTAATAAAACATGGACAAGGGAGCTCGAATAAGTCAGGTAGACCAAAAACATTTTCAGCTGAAGCATAAGGGTAGCAAGCCTACTCTTCACGGAAATTTCCTCAAGGGAGGGTGAAAAACATAAGGGGTGAGAAAACCATCTAATGCAATTTCCAGAGACCAAATGGTGTGATTAATCCTTCCAAGAGAAAAGTTGTATTGGTCATTTAAAAAACGTGCCAGTATAGTTTTCAAAATTTTATAAGTGACCCTCGAAGATTATCTTCTGGCAGGGCTAAGTCTTATCAAGGAAAATGGTTTTATAAAGCTTTCGCTTTGGTCCAAGCAATTGATTTGTCACACTCCTTCAAACAAACACGAAGAGGCTAAACATCACAATCTGCTCATTAACAAAGTAATCAATTTGAACTGCCAAAGTCACAGTGACAGAGCAAGTATTTGATGAGTACCTCTGAGCTTGCCATCCATCTCTTTATTAGTCATGGCATCCTTTTGCCCGTCGTTATTTGACTTGTATGTGTTCTCAACTATGATTGTTGGTGGCCATAAAATATGATCTCCTTGATTGGCTTCAGCATCAGCAGTAGATAATGTTTGGTAAGCCTTTCTGTTTACAGGATCTATGGAGTAGTTCCAACCCATAAGAACACATATAGCTTTGTGCAACCCAAGATGATCTGCACGAAGCTCTGGATTCCTCGTATTGTATGAATGATTGAGGAGTGCATGCAAGTCCATCGAGTCCCTGTAACCAAATTATGCATACAGGCATCTTCAAAAATAAATCGCATGACATTGTCTTCAAAAACCATGCATATAACTGTCTAATAAAACATACATAGAAGTATATAATTAGTCAATTTCGTGGGCCAAAAAGTTGCTGACATTTCAAGAACAATACAGGTTGAGAAATGTAAAAACAAAAGAAAACAGAAAGAATGCTGAAACAAGGAAATTAAAGATCGCAAACAAACTCATGTAAAGAAAATGAAGGACAACTGGATAAGTCTTTTGTTTTCAAATATAAGTAAAAAGAAGGAAAAACAAATCATTGCCACGAAATTCAGAGCAGTGTTCAAGAAAGCGTTTTTAAGCGACACTTAAGTACGCTTAAGCGCTGGGTGATGGCAAAATGCTTCGCTTTGGCCCTAAAGGGTAGATTGAGCGCTTTTTTAAAATTTTGGCCAAAATTTGGCTGTTTTTGAACTACTTCTGCTTGGCTGCTTACGCACTAATAGCATATGCCATTTATCTTATTATTAGGGTCTGTTTCGGAACTATTTCCTTCAGATTCTGGCCAAACTCTGGCAACATGATCTCTATTAGACAATGTCTATTTCAACTGAACTGCACTTTAGTTGTTAATTTGCTTGCTGTGTGAACCTCATGTGTATTTGCTATGGTGTGAACTGCACTTTAGATGCTATTTCAATTACCTATGTGCCATGTTTCCTATTTTCCTGTGCATATAATTCAAAAACAGCCAATTTTGAAAACGCTGAAGCGCCCATTGCTCTAAGCTGTGTCCTTCCGCATCGCTTACGCTTTCCGCTTTTTTGAACATTGATTAAGAGTGG